GATTCCAGTTTAAAGTAATAAAATTAATCTGAAAAAAGTAACTTTAAGTTTCTTAAGTGACTAAGTAGCAACTTTTAAATAGTGAACTTACGGAGAAGTAATAAAAGCATGTTCTTTGATTGTCTTTAAAACATCTAAAAATTTGATTCGACTAGTCAATGTATGACCATGGTAAATGATCGGTAATCCATCTGGTCCGTCCCAGCAGTCCAATTCAATACAACGGCATCCCCATCGTAAGCATCTAGCATATGCTTCTATTGAACTTTCACTTGATACTTGATCTCCAGTTAAATAACTTTAAAAAAAAAGTATGTTAGTAAAAAATTTATGAATACAAAACTTTCAGAATAGCTAACGTATTATGAGATGAAGATATCCAATAATGTGTTAGGGGCCTGGTCATATTTTGATATATATTGTCATAATATTGATCCCAAACTTCATTTTGCTTTGAATACAAGTAATCCATAAACTGAAAATATAATAAATAAAAATATATATTTTAAAACATTTTTCAAAATTATAGAAAATTAATATTTAAAATGTAAAAAATATTTTTTAAAAATCAGTTTAAATCAGCAAATAATCAAAAATTACCGATTTCAATTCACACAACAATCCTAAATCATGACATGATTTTCTTACAATATTTTTAAAAAATGTTCCTAAATGTCAAGTGTTGAGTACAACTTTTTTTTTAAATTTTAAACAATGACATCTAAAATTTTTTTTATACCAACTATAATATTTTTCCTATAGCTTGTTTAGTAAAACTATGCCCATTATCATAAACAATAATTGTAAACATTTTACTAGTATTGTAGAATAATAAGCAAAATAATGATATTTAATTGTTCTAAGTTACATTATTACAGAATATATATTTTGGGGATATTATAAAAGTTTATTATTTGAGTACCACAATGTTCTTTAAACAACATTAATTAATTAAATGAAATTAATAACATGGCCAGTAGGTAGATTTAGTATGAATAAATCTACTCTGTTAGAGAGTTAGTTTTAAGCACAAGACCCACATTGTAGTGTTTGATATCGTAAAAAAAAACACAAAAATTAAAAATTTTATGAACTTTTAAATACAACGAATAGTTTACCATTTAATGAGATATTTTTACCAAATATTTTTTTCAAAAAACTGTAATCTATAAAATTTATTTTAATAACTTAAGAACAA